CAAAAAGACTACCCCTGCTACAAAACATGACACGCTCACATGTACACAATGGTGCACTTATCTCTATGTTATGGATAGACCTGATACCTGCACCAATAATTTTCTGTTACCAAATTCAAAAATTTAAAACTACAAAAATTGAATTTTCTGACCATTGGCTAGTTTTGGTGTCCTACAAACTGGCAGAACCAAGTACCCAAGAATCCAGATAGTGCAGAATACGCCCAGAAAGTTTAGTCGACTCAGAATTTCTATCCTGGATGGAAGAAATATCCTTAACCTGGGATTTTCAATCACCTTTCTGCTTGGACCCACTAACCACATGGGAAAATTTCAAAAAATCAACAACCCAACAAATCAAACATACATCATCTAGAAGACTCAGGGCAGCTTCAGCCATTATCAAGCACACCTTGGCAGAAACCAACCACCTAGAAAACAACGTCCCACACACAGGGTACAGCCCTGGATGGGGTCACAAATGGGCGGAGGTTTCTTCTAAGCTAAACACCCTGATCTGCAAACACCAACACTAAGTTGGAGTTCATTATAAATCAAAAAAACATAAAAGATGGAGAAACTTGCTTGAGCTATTTTTTCTGCCAATTTCACGCCCAGAAAAATATGATAGCTTGCACACAGGTCTGATGACCAGACAAATCCATAGTGGAAACACCCAAAGAAGTCATGACTAAAGTGCACAGGTTTTATACAAACTTTTATAAATCTGAACCAGTCAAACCAGAAAAAAATCAAAAAATTCCTTACAAGCGCACATATCAACACTGCTACCCAAAATAACAATATAATCAAATTAGTATTGCGTGAGGAATTATGGGAAGTAGTACGCGGTGCACCAAGATGGAAATGCCCTGGACCTGATGGGATTCCCTATGAATTTTACATAAAATATTTTACTAACATATCTAACATTCTTTTAGCTTCAATGAATAAGTGTACTATGGACACATGCCTCCTACCTGGAGGCAAAGAAGCCTACAATGTCACTTTATTCAAAAAAGGAGACAGACTAAACCTCTCCAACTGGCGCTCAATCTCCCTAACCAACACAGATACCAAAATTTTTACAAAAATCATGGCCAAACGACTAGGAGAAATTGCAAATGACGCGATATCCCCATCACAATATGGATTTGTTCCAAGAAGATCCATATGAAACAACATCCACACAGTTGCAAATGTCTGCCAGTCCAAAACCTCTGGAGCTATTGTCTTCTTAGACCAACAAAAGGCATATGACAGGGTGAACTGGACCTATCTTAGGGCATGCCTTCAAAAATTCAAACTCCCAAGTAGATTCATAAACTGGGTGATGATGTTCACAGAGTCTGCTACCATGGCTGTGTGGGAGTAGGTTTTTTAATCAACCCAGTCATCCCACAGAGAGGACTCAAACAAGGAGACTCCTTAAGCCCTCTACTTCACAATTTTAGCTTGGACCCTCTAATCCGGAATACAAATACACTTCTCAAGGGAATCAATGTCAAGGGCCAACCACTAGTCAAAATGATGGCCTTCGCTGATGATTGTGTGTTAGAATATCCAACAATCAGGACGCTTGCATAATTGAGAAGATAATACAAGATTACTCAGCCATAAGCAACGCATCTCTTAACACTGAGAAAACGGAAATCATACTCCTGGGAAAATATCATACCCATTGGATGCCATCTACCCTGGGCCAACAAATTAATACAACATCAAGGCTCCTCACCAGACATAAGAGGCGAAAATCATCAATGACCCCACTGAAACTTCCCTTCACCACTAAGCCAACAGCTTGACCTGTCCGTCACTTGGGGGTATGGTTAGAAGCAGGAGGTTGCGTCAACTCCATGATGGAAAATCAACTCCTAGACAAAAATAACAAAACGCATTGCCTCCTTAAATGGACATCAAACAGGTTTAACAGGAAGGGTCATGGTAGCCAACTCTATGATTCTATCAATCTTATGGTTCACAGCCCATGCAATTGCCTTCTCACCGTCCTTCTTCAATACAATCTTGCCCTATTACAAGGATGGCTCAGGTTAACCACAACCCCCCTGTACACCTTGAAGCCCTATTTAGCTCTAGAAGGAATGGAGCTATGGGGCTTACTAATTACATAGAGCAAGCGACCCATATACTAGGATCCTGGATAGCTCAGGTGACTAGCCCAGATCTTCCAGATATACATTGGGTCAGAACAGCAAGATAACTTTGCACAAGCACTCCAATTATGAAACCCAGATCACCCAAACACATTAATCAAGTATTTGGCATCCTATCCTACAGCTGCAGGACCACACGGCACTCATGCACATTTCAAATAAATGCTCCTAGCCATGGAAGAGTGACGTGGCAGATTCACATAAGTGGCCAAACCAGCCACCGAGGAAGCCCAAGGCTAACTCACAGACAGGAAATCAATGACCAAATAGTCATAGACAATATAATAAGCAAAAGCCCAAATATCATATCCAGGATAGATTATCTGGACCATATGGACATACCCTACAACCTGGATACCCAAAGAAGAGTATGGAGATACACACATCACCCACTACTCCAACCCAGGATAAGAGCACATGTATGGAGATGAATGAGGAGAGTATACCACACAGCAGAACGGTCAAATGCCACCCACACCTCATGTACAATATGTGATCAGTATGGAAGCCTAGCCTACCACTTAGAATAATGCCCAACATCAGTGGCTGTATGGAAAGAGGCTATGCGCCTATTTCGCCAAGAAAGTGGGCAACCATTCAGCCTAGCAAGGAACATGTTCGCTATAAACATGGGCTCTCCCATCCACCCATCCCTCAGGGCGTTAATAGTAGCAATAGCACTATGGATGATCCATACAAGAGTACTGGAGTCATTTACAGGAGCAGCGCCTACAATCAAAGAAGCTAACAATCGTTTCCACTGCCATATGTTGGAACATTTTAAGCATGGCTTTTTGACACATGACCTCCCATAACAGAAGGACAATCAACACATGGTTCCACATATGGTTACTAAAGATTGATCCTTTCCTTCACACATGTTGCATCCAAGAATAAGCCAGCATAACCCCCATTCCCTACCGTCCTAAACTTGGTGATTCTGGAGACAACAAGAGGGTCCTTGAACCCTCTGGGGTGTCTTTAATTTTTTCAAATTTCATTAGTTTCCCCACTATATTGGAAGTGCTTGTCCCCTAGTTGACCTTCCTTAAATAAATAAAAAAAGTACAAGACAACTTGTTATTCTAATACACTTGTTAAATTTCTAAGTTATGTATGTTTAAGAAATATATAATATTAAGGTCTGACTATTCTAATGTACTAAGATTCAGCAAGGTAACAACTTACTATTTTCAAATGACTTACTCATATCATTAAAAGAAGTCTAAGCTATTGTTTTAGAAAATGATCTATGTATATAAAGCCCTTGAATGCTTTAACCAACAGGAGGCTAGTAAAACCATAATTTTTATAAAATGTTGTATTTTAAGACAGAAGATTTTTCACCTAATATATTAAAATGTCACTGATCTAAAGGAAATCACTAAAGAATTATGTCATACATCATAACAAGGTTTCTGCAATAGAGAAGATCTTGCGTCGCAGGATCTCGACCTAAAATGACAATGACAGAAGCACGTGTATTAACAAAACTCATATAGTATGGAATTATAGCAATTTGTAAATTAATCAAATTACCACAATTTGAATAATGGCTACATCTGCAAAATTATATTAAATTATTGACGTAATTGACAGACTTAAAGATGTATATAATGATTTTCATCTTAAGCATAATCTTTTTTATTGATTTAAAGATGAATAAACTTATAGATTTAATTTCTTGAAAGAATAACGTTATCAGAACACTGAACTTCTATAGCAATTTTTGGCTTGAGATGTAAATTTTAATCTAATTTGCCTTAAAAGATTATTGAAGCACTGGCGCTGTATCTAATAACCTTGTGGAATGGCTACCCTTTCAATGAAATACTTTGGAGGTTGATCTGTCAATTATTTGGTCAAAAATATGAAAGACTATGGACACTAACTGATACTGACAACAAGTGGGATGACCAAGTGATAAATTTCAAGTTTAAATTTATTCAAAGAAAATCACTTTAATGAAGTGTTGAGAACTATATTGCATGGTAAGAAAACCAATTAAGAGCTTAAATGTCATTTCTTTCAATCTAGTTTATAGTTGAGATTTAATGAAATTGAGAGTAAATTAAGATGAGAGTAGTGAGGAAATGTCACTTCAAATGACAAAAGTTATAAACCAATGCAGAGAAATGTCACCCATCCTCACAACAAAGTTTATTTGCATTTAACCACAGGTTGTACTTCTTCACCTCAGTAAAACTCTTAGAGCAGTGATTAATACTCCAATTGTTTATGACCAGAACTTCTTAATTTGCAAATCCATAAGGAGATGACTTTTATAAAGTTTATAAATTGCCTTCTTATGCTAATGATAGTAAAATGCATAAGATTTCTATTCAATTTTATCTTGGTGTTGAAGCATCGGTACACTGTAATTCTATACACTTGAAATCTTATTTGGATGTAAAGAGTTCTGACTAGATGGCATTTTATTGTAGAATAATTTAGCCCTTATGCTTGTACAAAAACATGTTGTTTAAGCTAATTGAGAAATCTAAAATTGTTATATTTGAAAGCTACTTAATTAGTATTTGGATGTGAAAAGAACAAAAGAGTAACTCACTCATTAGTATACATATAAAGACCATATGCTAGTTTGGGCTTGACTTCTATTGGATATTGATATAAACTTCATAATGACGTCTGCTGTTGAGACATCAGAGAAATGTTTCTTGAAAGTACTAGTTGTTCAAGTAGATGTACCATATATTGGGATGATAGATCATCTACGCAAAATATAATGCTCCAGGTGTCAAACTTATGTGAAATACCAAAGGCGGTTCCCTTGGAAAAATATACAATGCAAAGTTAAAAAAATTATGCATTATCCAGGAATCGAACACGTGTCGGCAGCATGGCAGGCGGCCATTATACCATTAAACCAACAATGCATGGGAAAATAATCTAAGAAACATTAATGTATAGGGAAATTTAACAAAGCCTCAAGAGAAGCTACTGAGACAATTGCAGGGATGGGCAACAAGATATTCATTGAAAATAAAAATTTCTAATTCTTTATTTAATCATATCAATTGTTACATTTTTGTAAAAAATCACTATAAAGTTGATTTTTCATAATTGCTAAACACTACTGCAGGAAAAAAACAAAAAACAATGGACAACTAAAAGCCAAGTAAAGTAATTATAAAAACTCCTTTTCCACAATGAGAAAATAAGTTAACTTTTACACAGATAAAAGCCAAGGAAAAGGAGATATTTAGATATAGTAGAGACACACCAGATGAATTAATTATTTTATACCATCATCTTGGATGTGTAAACTTTCATACTAGATTAAACTGAAAGAAGTAATGAATAGAAATCTTAATTTTTTATCTTATAAGAGACAACTATTAAATAAGTGTAGACTTAAAAGACCAGTACTATATGCCAATATAATATCATCATTTGAAGATAATTTGTCCTTCCCTTCTATTTTATCACACATGTAGAACCCCAAAATAGAACAAGGTAGTAAAGGATATATGCTAGAACATTAGTTTAGATAATTAACAAGTAGATTAAGACTCTAATTTTATGATTGCGCTTATGATATATATGTATTACTAGAGTCTGGGTAGGAACAATATTTATAGAAGCACCTGTTAACATAGTCCTCTAAAATTCATAAATCTATCTTCTATCTAGATATTAAACAATGTATATATGGCACATCAGGACCTATAATCACAATCTATGAAGGTGCGTATTGATCACTAATACCATGGTTAATCTATAGTTATTGCTTCTCCACAAATGTTCTATTCATAAATTATTACTATACATTAAATTGGGCTGCCTTCCTAAGGCATTTTGGTGTAGTTTTAAATATGACTAAAAACGTCAATTTCATCAAGCACATATGTATTTATATATTTTGCCAGAAAATAGAAATGAAAGAAAGAAAAGTACACCATTCATAAGCTTTTACATACAAGGATGGGACCATTACTGTGAGATACAGTTATACCTAAAAGATATACAATGCTTTATCTAACTATACTAGTAAGAATAAGGGAATACATCTAGAGCAGCCAAGGATATCAAAATTTCCATAGGACTTCAAATAGGCAAACTATTAGACTAGACAATAAAGTACTTAAAGAACTATATATTGAGAGATATAACTTCTTATTATTGAACATGCTTATAACCATGTTAGCACCTTTATCCTTTCTGGCAATGGGTCAGATAGAGGATCATGGCGAGTATGAAAAAGAAGTCCCTGACAGTCTGCCAACTTAAAGTCATTAGATTCTTACATATAGTCTATATTTGAAGAGGTCCAGAACTTCAATGATTGAATACATTAAATATGTTTGGCTTATATTGCACTGAATAGACTTTATTTTCAGAGATCTTAAAAAAAAGCAGTATAAATATAAATGAAAAGCAATCTTTTCACTTTTGCTTTCTTTGAAAAACAGATCTATCTTTACACATATAATCATGATTTTTAATGTACTTAAGGAGTGTTACAATAGATCAACACAGGAAACTACCCACAGATTTGCCTTAAGTTAATCTTCCATTATAGGGAGACCAAAGTCTTAGTAGATGGAGAATAGTACAAACTGCTTCATTACAGTTTTTTCCCATCATAGATTACATGGGTCTATATGGTACTGTTTGTGAAAATATAAAGATGAGTCAAACAGAGCCTTGCATTCTACCATAATTTGGTCAACATTACAAATAAGGCCTCATATCACTTACCCCTATTCGCTGATAAGATTAGACTATCTGTGATTAACATATTCTCCCCATAAATAGACACAAGCTCATGATACCAGTAGCTTAAAATGTCATCAAAAGAGAAAGTATATATATATGATTACATTGAGAGAATTTTAACTAACATGAATACTCAATGGATGTATATTGCCATTATCTACAATTCAACAAAAGAAAAGGACAATGTCTTAGCACCTAAGTCTTTCCTATATACTGATTTACCTAAAATAGTGATGTCTTTTTGTGAAGCTTTTTGAACACCTTATGTACTTTGAAGTGCTGATTTAGCAATTGGTCACAGAAAATTTTTATGATCAAGCCTCTATTTGAAATTTATTGCAGGGAAGGCTGACCATGGGATGGACACTTCTGAATATGATTCAGAAGAGACAAAAACTTAGTACCAGGGGAGGCACCCCAGAGAAGCGATGCTATCTCTTGTTGCCAGCGGGAACGCCACTTATGGGGAGGGGAGGAAACGTGTGAAGGGGCCATAGCCACAATTGAGCATGTGTGGAGGAAGGGGTCTGATTTGATGAACCAGACTGGGAACCAGGAAGAGACCAGCTGTCAGCGACGCGGTGGGAGGTATCCAAACATCCACGCTTGAAAGTGGTCCACCAAATGGGACTGGAATCTGTGGACCGCTTCTGGGAGGGTGAGGGTGGAGCATGCGATGGCATCTAAGACAATCGTGTGGATGGTCCACATGGCGATTGTAACCACCAAAGCACGAAGGGAGGGTGGAAGGGAGGAGGCCATTGATAGAGCAAACATATCTCTTGACAGACTGAAGGGATGCGTTTGATCCTGGCCCAGAAGACGTTGAACTTCGCGCCATATCACTTTAGAGGTAGGGCACTTCTCCAGGCGGTGAAACAGCGTTCCATACTGGCCACACATGACACAGGATGAGTGTAAAGCGTTAGAGCGCTCAGCTGTACAATACACCCGCCTCAGGCAGCGCCACGCATGGGAGCGGACTTGAGGTTGCAACAGAGGATGGTGTACATATTTCCAGATATTTTTTTGGGTCTCAATGGAGTAAGGGATGTCCATCATGTCCAGGAAACCACCCTGGATAGGACATGGGGTCGAATGGGGATCACGCCATCGTGGATGGGTAGCCCCTGTACCTCTTGTGTGAACTGAGGAGAGGGGCGGCCTCTTTGGGTTGTATGTCCACTAATATGAATTCTCAACTCAGCGCTCCGCATGGAGAGGAGGATTCGTTTTTAGTGGGTTTTAGTCCCGTGAGGACCTGTGGCTGATGTATGTGAAGCGAGGTATTTCATCAGAGAGTGGGGGTTCGATGGATTGTTGAGGCCCAAGGCACGGGAGAAGTTGGAGCGGGCTGCGCAGGACCAGTGTTGGGAGGGGAGTGTAGGGGTGGTGACGGCCGCAATTCAGGTACCCAGGATCTTGGCGGCATGGGCTTTGAAGTCAAGCAGGCCCATGCCACCATGATGTTGAGGGCCAAACATGACCTCTAGCCACACTGGTGGCAGGCGGCCTGACCAAAGCCATCCTTGCAGCAAGGCGTACAAGGATTTGAAGAAGCTTGGGGAGAAGGGGATGGCATGGGCTCCAAACCAGACTTTGGAGAGGAGCATGGAGTTGGCTAAAACAATCCTGCCAGTAAGGAAAGTAGGTTGGGCTCTGAGAGAGGCGATTCGCTTTGTCACATTATCCAGAATATGGCACTCCATTACTGCTGACGTGTATCCGCCTGCCTCCATCCATACGCCCAGATGGTGTACTGGTCCTATGGTAGGACGTGGCACGAAGGGGAGCACCAGTGGAGCGGTGTGTGTTGAGTTAGTAAGGCGTGGACGTGGGCGAGCAGATGGGCCGGGTTGAGAACTAATTGCTGGGGTCCAGCAATTCTGAAACTGACCAAGGAGGATGATTTTGGTTTTGGAAGCGTTCAGTGCCGCGTTGCTTACCTGGGAATACTCCTGGATGAGAGCTTCAAGCGCGCGTGCATGTTGATTACTAGACACCCCCACCACACAATCATCTGCAAACGCCATTATCTTGACTGGGGCTTGGCCTGGCATGTGGACTCCAGTGAGTTGGGCATTCACATTTCTCAGTAGTGGGTCAAGGCTGAAGTTGTATAAGAGTGGGGTGAGGGGGTCCCCTTGTCGCAAGCCCCTTTGAGGGCGGACTACTTCCGTTAGGAAGCCAGGGCCACGCACTGCCATTGTTGCAGATTCTGTGAGCAGAATTACCCATTTGATGAAGCGATGGTGTAGGCAAATTGATGGAGGCAGGCCCTTAGGTATTCCCAGTTTACTCTATAATAGGCCTTTTGTTGGTCCAAGAATACAAGTGCCCCAGAGGCTGTGGACTGACATACATTAGCCACAGAGTGCACGTTATCCCAAATCGACCTTCTGGGGATGAAACCAAATTGTTCTGAGGAGATGGTGGCAGATGCTAAAGTCCCTAAACGGTTAGCCATGATTTTTGTTAAAATTTTGGTGTCTGTGTTTGTTAGAGAAATGGGGCGCCAGTTGGCTAAGTCTAGCTTATCCCCTTTCTTGGAGAGTGTGACAGTGAAGGCCTCATGTCCTCCTGGTAGGAGGCGCATTTCCATCAGGCTTTGGTTAAGTGAGGCGAGCAGCAAAGGGGATACATATTTGAAATATTTTTTGTAGAACTCATATGGAATGCCATCTGGGCCTGGGCATTTTCAGTTTGGTGCACCGCGAATGACTGTCCATAATTCGTTCAGAGTAATCAAATTCATTATTTCTGGGTATCAGAAAATGGAGCAGATGTGGGCTCAGTCGAGAAATTCCGCCACTTCGTCCAGCTGCATTGGTTCAGCTCAGTATAACTCAGAGTAATATCTTTGCATTTCGATTGCCACTTTGGCCGGTGTGTCCACGATAGAATTATCAGATCTTCGCACCTGTGTGCAGGCCACGCTCTGGCGTGGTGCAAATTTTTTTTAAAGAAATGTGTGGTGCACTTGTCGCCTTTTGTAATGCATGTGGCCCTGTACTGAACACAAACCCAATGTTTGTGTTGTCTTTCAAGAGCGTTGAGGTGGGCAGCTGCCTCCGCCCACTTCCATCCCCATGCAGAGCTGTATCCTGTAACTGGGATATTGGACTCCAAATGTGCCAATTCTGCCAGAGTGCACGAG